GGGGCTCCTCTTTTTGATAGTTTGGTCTTTTTTGTGAGTCTTTTTCTTCCTTAACTTTCTGAGCGAGCTGCACATGAACAAGTCCCAGGAATTCCAAGGATCCATAGTGGTTTTCGGGACATGAGCCTGAGGGTGCGAAGCCTAGCAAGAGTGAGAGGCCCTCCTTCCGTTTCTGAAAACTTCTCAGGTTAGGCCTCACCAAGCCTCTATGCACCCACCAGAGTCTCCGCCTCCGTCCTGTCCACGCTGCTTCTCTCGGGGCAGCCAGGCCCACCTGCTCCCCGGGGAGGCAGAGGCGCCTGCTGGGAAGGTCACAAAGCACGGGACGTTCGGGGTGCCACTCCCACCTCAAAGCCACGCATTCCACACGGTGGCAGCCCCCCTCCCCGCTCTCACCTCGGATGCTTTGAATCCTAAGCAGGCCAGGGAGCCCCCACCAGCTCACTCCCATTGTGGGCATCCTGGATTTGGGGGAAAAAAACTTGGCCCTTAAGAGCAGCTCCGTTGCCAGAAGGCAGCAGCTGTTTCCTCAGAACCTGCTAATTCCCAAGGGGCGGCTGCCTTTCCCCTGCTTGTTTTCTGCACGTGTTGTCCCGTGAGGATCAGACACCAGCCCAAGGAAGGAACCTGTCCCGTCTGGGCAGTGGCTTTACTCCGTAGACTGTAAAAGTCCCAAGAAACTTGGGTCTTGTTTGTCGTCCTTCCTCGGCACTGGGAACGCGGGAGCCCTTTGCGCTGACGGAGGCTCATGGGGCTGAGGAAACTCACAAGCCCTCCGGGTTGGTTTTTTGGTTTTTCACTTTGTTTTCTCTTCCAACCCATCATGCTCTTCTGTCGTCATTCTTCACCTTTATCACCAGAACTTTACTCTAGATCCAGAGACTTGAGGCAGAGGCCACGTTAGTGATCCGTTTTGACAGCCATCCACCCTCGCCCACCTCCCCATCCCACTTCTGGTGCATCCTCGCTACCCAGATTGAAGCCAGACTAGAAACCTGGTCCCTCCTCCGCCCTGTGGAGCCAGCATAGGGCTTGCAGCTTTCGTCCAAGCAGCTAAACACCTTCCAGAGAGAACCTTAATGTTGGCAAAGCAGGCAGGACCTGTGTCCGTGGCTTCCAGCAGCAGGTTTCAGCCGGGTGCTGGCGTCCTGCCCAGGCCCGAGCCGGGCGAAGTTAGAGCCCTTGGGCTTCCAGAGAACAGAGTGCCTGTTACCTTGATGGAAAGACGGCAGGGAGTTTAGACAGACAGGAATTTATTATGATTATTTAAGATTCGTTAGGAACCTCTCATTCTGTGGACTTGCCACTATCTTTAAACACTTGACTCCTTTGAAAATTTCTTCTGAACGTGCGTGTCATGCATGGAGCAGGCTGGCATGTTTATACTGGTGGCTAAAGGACTGTCAACCTGCACAAAGAGGTTTGATCCCATCACAATTTTCATTCCCTAGTAGTCAGCCAGTGTGCGACAGGAGAGGAGAGTGGTTTATATGCACCAACATCAACTTCGCGCTTTTCTTGAGGAGGGGTAGTGTATAATTTCATTTATCTTCTCTCCAGCAGCTGGAGGGACTGCACTGTCTAAAACACTGAATCTGTGCTGTTACACCTGGTGTTCACCGACACCGTGATGGCTCTTGAGGGTTCTAAAAGGTTGTGGGTTTTTTTGTTTGTTTGTTTTCATAGATAACTTATGGATTAAAATGTGATCAAAGGCTTTATTAAATTTGTACTTCAGCACAGTGGCTGTGTTCTGCTTCTTATCTCAAGGAGCACTTTCTGATCGTCTCCTAGGAGAGCTCAAGATGAGGCGTTGGGGGCTTAAAGAGCACGGAAGCTCCCACAGTGGGAAGGAGGCACGGAGGACACAGCAGCCGGCCAGGGCTCCCTGACTCACCCAGGCCGGCAGTGGTTGGCAGTTTGTAATATTCACTTCTGATTTTGTTTTAAGAAGTAACACCTTTCAGGTAAAGTTCAAGTACCCTTAGCACCCTCCACGCTCCCTTCCCATCCTTCACATGCACTGCCCACGGCAGCCATCACCCCAGGTTACACATTTTACACAATTACTTAAAGAAGTGATAGATGTTTGCTGAAAAGAATTCAGTTAATTTAAAAGTGTTTGAAGTAAGATTTTACAGCTACACCCGGGTGTGCTCAGCTTGCCTCCTTTACTGAGAATCGTGTTTGCAGGACACGCCGGCCGCGTCTTGTGTTCAACAAGCGCAAGTTTACACTCAGCAGAACACCCAGCTCAGCTCTGCCAGTCTCTCTTGCTCCTCCTGGGGTGGCCTTGGCCCCACTATGGCAGCTGGGAGCTCCTGTGCGTTCTCGCTGCCGTGGTTGGGGCACCTGAGGATCTGAGCATCAGGAAAGAAGTCTTAAAAGCCCGACAGGCCCTTTTCCAACAGTCAGGCCACCTGGGCTCCCGAGGTGAATTCATGCACGCGGACCTCCTCCCACGGGACACTTCTGTCCTGCAAAGGGAAAAACCCTGGAGTCCCCAGATCCGCCCGTGGCCTCCAGCGTGAGACCCACGCACCTAGAGAACTAAAGCCTCATTCTGTGATACTTCGGCTTTTAATTACAAGTTAGCACCGCAAAGAGAAAGTCTGTCTTTATAACCAGGAAAAATAAGTGAGTTTTTTAAAAAATTATTTAAAATGACCATTTTAATGCACTGACAGAACTTGCAAGTGCCTGAGAATGTTCAGGTGGAACACAGTTTGAGAAACACTGGTCACCACTGTTTCTGACTGCATTGAAGCCATCAGCCTACCTTTGTGCTGCTGATCAGCAGGTAGCACACGGCTGCCTGTGTGAGGGGCACGGACAGGCGGGTCATCCCTAAGCCTGGCTAACGTGTGGATCCAGGGCTCCCTTCGACCAAAGTCTTATCTCGTGGAAACCTCTTCAGTCACTAAGAGTGGCCGAAGAACTGTGAAAAGTGGTCTATTCGGTGCGCTTTTCCCAGGAGCACACACACATGTGCAAACACAGTCCCTCACTTCCTGCTCTGAGTCAG